TTTTATAGTACATTAGTGATTGCTTCTGGAATAGACAAAGTATCATATCCTGTTGAAAGGCAGTTGAGAATTTGTATTGAATGTTAAAGAATCCTTGATGAGTAGTTTATGTATTGTTATCAGGATTTTTCCATTAACTGTCTTTACCTACTTATTTTTATTATTTACAGATCACCTGGAGTTGGAAGCCACAGGTAAGCCACCAAAGAAGAAATCATTTTTGAAAAGATATCATAAAACAGCCCCATTGGTTCAAAATAATTCAGCTGAACATAATTCTGTTAATCACAATTCAAGAGTTCCTCCACCACTGGCATGACACGGAATGTAAAAGCTGATGTTGACAACATTGGCTATAATAATTATATTCTTTAATAATCTGTTTTACAGTCCCGGGTTTACCTAAAAAATAAAAGTCATGGGCAGATTTTACATTTAAGATCATGAGCATAAAAGGTATTTCTAAACTTTATTGACCAAGTCGTGATATTGTATAGGCTGGAAAAGATGACATCTAATATTGCTTCAAAATTAAAAACATGGATGATTTTTTTTAGGGGAACAATTAACTGATTACTACATTCATTCCAAAGAAAATATACAGATCTCTTAATATATAGAAGTGTGAGAGAAAAATCATGAAAGCATCTATGTTAGATGTGACTAACAGCTGTGAATTCCAATAGCATTGTAGCGTGAGAAACAGATTTTGTTCAAATCATTATGTTCTCATTTATGAAGTGTTCCATAATTAAGTAATGAGATTTCTTAGTAGAAGTAAGTTGTTCTAGTCATTATATATCCAAAATAATAGATACTTAAAAATATGTGACATTCAGCTAGAATGCTTGAAAGTAGAAAGCTTCTAGAACTAATGTTTCATAATGTTATAATACAATGATTTATGCAACAGAGCAGGAACTTTATGATTTACTTAAATTGTAATTTTATTTTAAAACCATCATGAGAGTATCCTACAAGAAGGCTTACAGTTATGTTTGCAGAAAGTAATAATTGAGGCTATTCAGTTGACTTGTTATTTCTCTATATATACTTCTTTGTTCTTTTATCTTTTCTATATGTATATGTTTGATAATTTTTGTTACTCTGGACATTATTTTTATATAGACTAGCATAATTATTGGATAAAGTTGTTTTGTTTGTTTCGGTTTTTAAGGATATATTTTAAAATACAGTCATAGTATTTATCATATACAATATATGATATAATTGAATGATAAAATACTGTTACCATCCCAACAGAAAACGGTTTTAAATAACATGAAGAATTTGTTCTTTTCTTACAAAATCTAATGATATTTTGTTATATTTTTCTTTAACCCACTCTGTAATGGTAGGAATGTATATGATTAAATGCTCATTGAAAAGTAGGGCAAGAAAAGACTATTTTGGCATTACTACTTGATTTTTATAATTATTTTGTTACAAATGTTCTTATGTCAAATACTAGATTTCATGAATACTAAATTATTTGAATCTCCAAATTAAAATTAATTTTATATTAATCCCAGTTGATAATGCTGGTAATTTTAAGAAAGAAAAAATGACTGATGAGTATAAAGAAAGTTCTAGTCCCTGGAGGAATGTAAGTATGATGCAGTGTAGGATTTTTTTGTAGCATGGCTACATATTTTTAAAATGTGATCTGTTAATACTGTGCTAGTCGCTCTGTACAAATACCATTGCACAAGGTTTTGTAGGTATGTGAAGTGCTTTAGATGCTAGAATTCAATATCTGTAAGTTATTTCATTTCTTAGCAAGTACAAGGACATAGATTCTGTAATTTATAAAACTTACTAATTATTGCCAAAGGTAAAAGAAATAACTTAACAATATTGTCATTATTTTGCATTTTGTACCAAAGTGTTTTTTTATTTGATTTAAGCTGATATATGCACTGAAGTTTTAATGTAAATGTAGTGCTGTAATTTTATTATAGTAGTAATAGAGGTAACCCTTGCACTTCTTTATACTTGCTCAAATGGCTTAAATGGCAAGGAACAAAGATAGTCTTGCCATTTTTCTTTCAACAGTTCAAACCTTGTTTATCAAGAGATAGATGATCTGATAAAGGTTTTATGAAGATAAAAAGTTTACCTTGAAAATTGGTAGTTCATAACTTAACTAAATTATTAGTCCCTAGCCCTGTCCGTCATTGAAGTGGCATCGTATTTAGACGTTTTTCAAACAGAGGAAGAGGGATTTGGAATGTGTTAAAGTGTAGTTGTTATAATATTGATTATAAAGAGTATTTCTTATTGATTTGCTCCACTGTTAGAATTATAAGTGTTTGAAATCATTTTTTTTCTCCCCCCCTCACTGAAAGCATCTCTGAAATTATGGTACAAGCTTATGTTATATGAAGGTACCTCATATGTACTTTATGGACTGTAGAGTAGTTCTTATACCGGTATTATATGTAAGGACTTTTTCACTTGTACATGATAAGCATTCTTCTTCTTTTTTAGTTAGTTCATGATTGAAGTATGAAGGTTAGAGTCTAAAATGTTTGAATGGGTTACTTTAAAGTTCTGAATTTTCATGTGCTTCAAGTGTATTTGCTATACATTGTTCCAACATTTTCTGTTTGATTCCCTTACTTCAGTACCATTGGCTGCAGTTTTAAATGTGTATGGTACATGGGTATGTGCATGTGTATTAAGGTTTATGTGAACAAAATGATTATATGCTTGGTGTAAGAAGAATCATTTATTTTGAATATTGAAGTTAACTGTTGGAGGTGTTTCAATGAAACTTCCATACAGTATTCTTGATCTTGGACAAGTTTGACATGCATGAGATGTATAAAGTAGTCCAAATATCTATAGACTACTATTTTTTTAAAAACTTTAGTGATAAGAAACCAGAAGAGAAACAGGTCTAACCCACTTACAACAGATCCAAACATAACTGTCACTCGTGCTGAGGTGATATCCCATCATGTCATATGCAGTCTACCGTACTCAAAGTTGTGTACACTACACAGTTATTTGCTTGTTTTGGCTTTGGCTGTGGTCATTGAAGAGAGAGAGTCTTTCAAAAGTAGATTTAAAGCAGCTTTTTGGTCCCATTACCTAGTCATTGAAGCTGCAGCCAAGAGCATAGAGAACAGGAGGTAAATATATGTTTCCTGCACTTATGATTTTTCCATCAAGTGGCTGACTGCATGTGCCATCAGGCATATAGCTGAGTATGATGCTGGGAAATCCCGTTGTGAGTGGGTTAAACATGATTGTGTCGGAATGTAGGCATTTAATTGACATTTCCCTTGGGACCAAGCTTCATACTGTCTTAATTGACATCTGAAGTTGGAGGGAAAATACTGGTGTCAGAAGTAAGTGAAGTTACAAACACATACCAATCCCTTATGTTGTCAGTAACTTCATTCATGTCAGCATATTATATTTTCTCATTGGCTAATGGTACAGAAGTGAGGGGCTTAATGTGTACATTTTTGTTTCAATATCTATAGTCGGCTTGATATGCAGAGCCACTTGAGTTTCAGCCACAGATCACTTTGGAGATAGAGTGACAAAAACTTTCAGAAATACTAAGATCTTGTCAAAGTTTAAGAAATTGAAAACAAAATACTGGAAGATAAGTAGCATTATGCTGGTCTCATTCAACACATTTTAAGGTCTGCAATTCTTTTTCACATAGGTAATTAGAGAGAGAAATAAATCTTTATTATATGCATAACAGTAAGGCATCTTTGACATGAATAAGACAAACTGTATCAGGATTCAAATATATCAGCTTATTGGATACATTTTTTTTCATGTTCAATAGTATTTAGCTAAAGTTGGCATATAAGACTCGGATTTTCAAGAAACATTTTGAAATTTGGTTATTGTTTCATCACTATTTCTATTCGAGGGCACACTGCTTTGAATGAGGACTTTTTTTTAAAGCTGTGTATACTGCTTCATGTAGTATGTGCTATGAATTTTTAATAAGGGTAAAATATTAAAAAAAAGAAAAAGAAAAGAAAAGGCATCATTGGTTGGAGAGCATTGTGCCAATAAAAGTTATTTCTTTGTGCAGATTAGGTTGATAAGCAGGGCATCTGATTCTTTAAAATGAATTATTGTTAACATAAAAGGGTACCTTAGGAAAATGCTATTCTTTCTGGGGAGAATAAAAAAAAATAAAATGATTAAAAGTCCCTTTGGGGGATATTTCCAAGGATACTAAATTTTCTAATTTTTGATTGCCATTTGGAAAGGGAAGTTGTCTGTTTGAGCAAGAAAGAGTCATATGTTCAAAGATTATTTTATAGTTATACATTTAGAAATATGAAACTATTTCAGATGCAGATGTAGCTGGTCTCCTTTTGTATCATATTTTTTATGCCTTATTTATTTATTTGTAACCTGTTCATTGGTTAGAATTAAGATTGTGTCTACATTTTCATTTGATAAATGTGACCCATATTTTGTATATTTATATTAATGAGCTTTGTAAAGTGCTCTTTCATGATAAATATAAACATTGTCTTTTATCGAGGTTATGACTACAAATGATGTATTTTTTGTGTTAAAGTAACGAAAGTGTCTTTTCACGAGATCCCAAAATGTTCTAGATGATGTGAAATACATTTATGTGTTTTGTGGATTGTTCACACATTTCCTGTATTCTATTTGATGCCGTCCAACCAGAGGTCTTTACAACAGTAAAATATTTTTCACAAGCCTTTTTGTTTAATTTATCCTAAAACAAATCTCATTTCTCAGTAAATCCCCCCCCCCTTGCTCTTATTATTATGGGGGGTCTCATGAAATGAATACTGAGACCTAAGGTAGGGGATTATCTCTACCTTGGACCTCAACCCGCTACTTCTGTCCACTTTCCAAGGTGTGAGAGCCGTGCTGAAAGGATGAAAGGCTGGCTTTGTATCAGTCATAAACTGCCTCCTGGAGTCACGGGCATGGTATTCCCTTGGTTAATTGCCTTGCCCTCACCCCTTATGGGGACCCTGAGGGTTAGACCATTACTTTTTTCCACTTATTTTAGGCTCACCATGGCCAATAGTGAAGATTTTTTTACCCATTTCAGAGGCATTAAGGCTTTCATCAACTTGTCTATCTAAATTTGATCTCACTAGTTTCTCAATACCTGCCTCTCCATTTACCACGGCTCCAACTACTGATACTAATACTCCTTCCTCAATGTTCACTGACAACTCTATTTATTCTGATCCACCCACTCAGGTTATTACTCAACCTTCAGAATGCACCCCTTCCTCTCACCAATATTCTCCACTCCATTTCCTAATGCAAAAGTCTTCTTGTCTACTCCTTCCCCCCAATTACTACTCTTCATCTTAACTGTCCTCCTACTGACAGTACTACCTTACTCTACATCACCCCATCTTCCTCTCCCCCTTGTCCTTCTACTGCTTTCACCTCTGCAAACCTTTTAAGTACTCTCTTTGGCCCAGCCAAGTGGGATTGATTCTTTATGATTCCCCTACAGCCCCTTACTGTGATAATACCCTTCTCTTCCGACAATGTCTGCAAAATCAAGTTGTCAGTTACCTTTTGCAGGTGTTCCAATTGTTCACCTTATCACAGTTACATCTGAGTCCCAAGTTTGTGCACTTTCTACCCTGACTGACCACACTGGCAAACCTATTTCTGCCAAACCTCACTCCTCTCTTAATACTTGTACTGGAAATGTTTGTCTGCCCGACTGACTGTTCTATCTATGACAAGAACTGGTCAGACTCTGAAAACGACTATGATGCAGTGGCAGTACTGTGATACCTTATTCCTCCCTGAGGTCAGTGTAAGTCTTACACCAATATTGCCAAGATTAGCTTCTGTAATGTGACCTCCCCCATCAAGTTTATATTGGTGGAGTGTCCTGCCCTGTTCGACCATATAGACTCTATCCTCGTCAATGTCAGAAATGTTGGCGTTTTAGCCACCCAACCAAATACTGTCATCCCACAGCCTGCTACCCCCAACGTGCCCAACCTAGTCATGACTGCTCATATTGCTCTGCTCAGTCACATACATGAATATATTAACCCTCTACTTTTGATATTTTATAAAACTATCAAAATACAAGCTTTTAGATGCCTGCAAACTACTGAACGAGCCAGACGCAAACAAGGGAAAATGTTGATGTGCGCCAAGAAACCTGCAATTATGTCCCCTTGCCAATTTTTTACCCCAGCTTTATTGGGTTAATAGGCTCCATAATACAGAGAGGTGCTGGAGTACTAGATTTTTCGTTAATTATAGGTTATGAAAAGACAAAAATAATGCTCGTCTCGTCTTGAAAAATGTAAATTTAGCAGTCGAATGTCAGTAATCCCAAGTTATTGCAATGTACCTGCAAGAACCACTTTTTGTAATCTGTGGTAGTTGTAGGTAAAATGGGTTGGTGGTCTCAAGTGTGGGTTCTACATATAAATGACCACCAGGTATGTTTTCCCGTCTTGAATCAACTGAAGACAATGTACCAGCTGGGTTCAACCAATCTGTAATAAATAATAATAATAATAATAATAATAATAATAAAATAATAATAATAATAATAATAATAATAATAATAATAGTAATAACAATATAAAAATACTGTTATCCCTGATGATGATAACAATAATGATAACAATAGTACAAATGAGAGCAGCTATGAAAATAAAAGTAATACCAATAATAATAAAATGTAAATACAAAAGCAATAACAACAATAATTATGGCTTTTAACACACTACCCAACTGTCCAGTTGTATGTGGACACAGGGGAGATGGGTAAAGTTACCCAGCAGCCCATTCCTCTGTCAATTTTTTCTTGTGTTGATGTGCTACAGGCTGTTTCACACCATGAAAGTATGTGTGTATATAAATTATATCTATTTCTCTATATATATCTATATACATTATATATATATATATATATATATATATATATATATATATATATATATATATATATATATATATATATATATATATATATATATATATATATATACATAATACACATACACGTATTACACGTATACACGTATACACATAACACACATATACATATATACATTTACATTTACACACACACACACACACACACATATGCACATGTGTGTGTGTGTGTGTGTGTGTGTGTGTGTGTGTGTGTGTGTGTGTGTGTGTGTGTGTGTGTGTGTGTGTGTGTGTGTGTGTGTGGTGTGTGTGTGCGTGTGTGTGTGTGTGCACATATACACACATATATGTATATGTACATAAATGTGTATATGTATACCAATATGTATATAACATGCACGTGCATGTATATATACATTATACAAACAAAGGTGCACACACCCACCCACACCCACATCGCAATACATCAAATGCCCATTTTATTCACTTGTGCAATGAAGGTCATAAACTATTTGAATGATATTAATTGGAAAACTGCCTAATTTCAGCTAAAGTCAATGGGGCTTGGATGACTTTACCAAGCAAACCCTTCCCTAGATTCTTTCATCTTGACCCCCCCTTCTAGGACCTGATTCAGGTCTTGTTCTTATTGTCTCTCTATCACCATGTAATCTTGTCAAAATCCTCTTCGAGTATCTTTTTCGTTCATTTGTTTGTAGAATGTGGAACTCTTGACCCGTCTAAAGTCTTAATTGAATTTAATTTCTTATTGTGGCTGTTTTCTTTCCATCTTTGAGTACACATTACTGTTTGCGTCTATGTTCATATACTTACATACATATATAATATATATATATATATATATATATATATATATATATATATATATATATATATATATATATATATATATATATATATATATATACATACATATATATAGGAAGAGTGTACAGGACTAGAACACTAGGACTAAAAACTTTTTGTCAAGTTGAAACCAAAACATACCAAATCAATTTGGGTTGTTTAAATTTGCAATATTAGTCTGTAAACTTGAAGAAGAGCTCTTCTGTAGTATGTCTCGGTCCAACCTCTGTCGTTTCACATAATGTTCCACTCGTGTCTCTAAACTCTCTGAAAATGGGAAAAGAAGTTATAGTAAAGAGGAAAATGAAGGAAGGGAGGATAAGAAGAAAAAGAAAAAAGAAAATCTTTGCAAGTTCTTCTGCAACTTTGAAAATACATATCACCTACTAATTATCTTCAATTACTGTCATAACTCACTGAACATTCACTTACCACAAGTTGGTCTGGAGAGCAGAGGCCTATACACTTTAGTTCTTGCTCCAGGAACTAGGTTCAGGCACTGGTATTGTAGTTTTATGGAGTCGACTAGTGGGACTTCTTTTGAAAGTTGTGTGTCATCCTGTTTTGCGCTATTCATATGCAAATAACTGGTCTCTAGATCCCAAAGCATGCGTCTGATCATTGTGGTCCTGTAATAATAAATAAGATAAGTCGCCTGAAAATTTCTTGATACTCTCATTATCATGGGAGGGAGGAATTTGACATGTAGAGCATATTATGAATATTTATCATTGGGAAACATTTTCAGTGAGTCATGACCATAAGTAATCTTATGTGTATTTTAATATATCACAACTGATTTGCATACCATAATTTCTAAAATACACAAAAATGTGAATAAAGCAAACTTCCATAGTCTGCTATGGAAAACAAATTTTTCTACAAATTTCCTTTCCTTCTTCTAACAAAAAAAAGAAACAAAAACATTGATTTTTACTTTTTTCAAAATAAAATGGAAATGAAAACTTTTTATTGTGTTGTTCACACACTTTTATTGCCTCCAAAGACGACTGATTTTAACCTGGATAAGAACACATTGAATAGGAGTAGACGATGATTTAAAATTAATTAATTTATCAAACTATTTGGGGGATTCACTAACATTTCAGAATGTATATTCTAATTTTACTAACCCTTTGAATAACACACAAATGAGTTATGTCTATGGTCACATTCACTACATTTTCATACTTACATCCCCATAGAAGTGCTCGGCCACACCTATAGTGCAATAGGATAGAAAGCCATAAGCTGCCTTAATTCCCAAACGTCCTAGCAATCAGCACACTGCTGATAACAATGGCGACAGTGTTGAGCATGGTAATGATGTTATATTTTATTGCTGTATTTTACTGTGAAAGTTAAAAAAGAGACAACTGTGCTTGCCTGAACTTAGCTTTCAGCCACTGGCACTGGTAAGGATCCTGATGCATTTATTAAAAACTTTTTTTCGCTCCTTCTCACTTAAAAAATAAAATTGTATATTAATCATTGTATAAAATATAGAAACAAACTTCCAACTTCCTGCAATGTTTTACTACCAAAACATTCATCCAATGAATTTTACAATTTAATTCTCAGCCAATGGCACTTAAAATAATTGTAATGTATTTAGATATGCATATAATACAAAAATGTAGATTCGAGAACCAGCTGCGATGGAGCTATAAAACTCCAACTTGGATGGTATACAGAATACACAGCAAATCCACTGTCATAGCAAATATATAGATATCATCTGCAATTTTGGAACTAGCCTCTCCCTTTCTCTCAATGAAAGAATGCTGCATTTGCCTGGATAACATTCTGTATACCACAAGAGCAAAGAGTCACTTTGTCAACGTCTAGGGTGGTTTTTGCCCTAATACTGCCCCTAAAGTCCCACGTCTAGTCATCCTATGGATGAAAGCACAACTTAATATATCTGCCACTTTAACTACTGAAACTCCTAGGCTGTGGCGACCCATGATATTTGCATGACTGACAAAAATAGTGCTGGGCGTGGATTACACTCTACGCAGGCACGCACGCACGCACCCACACACACAAACACACATACCAAAACCCTATCACATACTTACTTTACAGAGTGGTGTGCCCAAAGGCCTTGCAACTGCGATATGACAAAACATAAAGATTCAGCATCACATCTCCAGTCCACGCCCTCAAAACTTGTTTCATATAGGTTCAGAGGTAGGTCACTTGCTAAGCAGTACTGGGGTTTCCTGTTGTATATGAC